ATTTTATTTATTTTTATTTTTTTTGAGTTTCAGCCAGTGGGACATTATGAAGAAACTTGGGGGTCTACAACATCATTGAAAATTTATTCGTCTTTTGACTTTTCGGTGATGAAATTCCGATTCGTCTCTGGGTAAGTCATGAGAACAGAGGTTACGATCTTTTTTCATTACAAGTTTTAATTGGGGATTTCAATTTTAATGCATGTGGTTAAAATACATCATCAAGATTCAAAATTTATTTACTCATAAGTCATGAGTGAATTTGTTTTACACACTTAGCCCTCGTTTTGATAATGAAATTTTTTTCAAACTTTTAAATATATGTTTTGTGTCTATGAAATGATTATTTCATTAGTACTGGTAATAATATTGAAAAATTTGTTAAAATGATAAATAATTGGGATATTTTGTCTTTTATTTGTGAATTTTGATTTATTCTTAATTTATTAATGTTATTGAAATATGATGATGTAAAAAGTATAAATAGTTTAATTGTACTTTTTAAAAATAATAAATTTAATATTAAAAATTAAATTCATCAGACTGACCTGTAACTATGCCTTTAAATTTTTGCAATGTAAAACTATCGACAAACAGACAATAACAAGTTGCCCATTTTAGTCTACAATTAAGAAACAAGCAAACCCACAAATAAAATACCTTTTTCATCCGAGTCTTGACCTCGGATTTCCGAGCTTTGTTGTAGACACGCCTCTTCTCTGCTTGATGAGCTCTCTTCGCAGCCGAATCGGCCTTCTTATTCGGAGCAGCCTCACAAATAATCGAGTGACGAGTCGGCCTCACAACAGGGCTCATCGAAATCAAACCTGAAAATATTACCAAAAAACAATTTTTTTAAACTATTTAAGAACAAGGGTTTTGTGATTTGAGCTGAGAAAAGGCAAATATTTAAGAGGAAAATGAGCGGCAGTAGTAGTGAAGATGGTGGATAAGAGATGATGGTGGTGGTGATGGGGATGGCGAATGAGATTAGTGGTGAAGTTGTGGTAGTGGTAGTGTAAATGGAGTAACAGGGGTGAAAGAGAGGTAATGGTAGTAGTAGTGGTAGTGGTGGTAGTGGAGTGGTGGTGATGATAGTAGTAATAGTAGTAATAGTAGTCGTAGAGGTGAAGTGGCGATAGTGGAAGTAGTGGTGGGGGTGGAATGGCGTTTGTAGTAGTGGTGAAGGTGGTAGTGGAGATGGATGGTGAGAGAGAGAAATGAGTGAGAGACAGATAGAGGAGAGAGAGAGAGAGAGAGAGAGAAAGAAAGAGATAGAGAGTGAGAGTGAGAGACAGAAAAGAGACATAGAGAGAAGAGAGATGGACGAGAGAGACATAAAAATAAAAATAAAAATAAAAATAAAAATAAAAATAAAAATAAAAATAAAAATAAAAATAAAAATAAAAATAAAAATAAAAATAAAAATAAAAATAAAAATAAAAATAAAAATAAAAATAAAAATAAAAATAAAAATAAAAATAAAAATAAAAATAAAAATAAAAATAAAAATAAAAATAAAAATAAAAATAAAAATAAAAATAAAAATAAAAATAAAAATAAAAATAAAAATAAAAATAAAAATAAAAATAAAAATAAAAATAAAAATAAAAATAAAAATAAAAATAAAAATAAAAATAAAAATAAAAATAAAAATAAAAATAAAAATAAAAATAAAAATAAAAATAAAAATAAAAATAAAAATAAAAATAAAAATAAAAATAAAAATAAAAATAAAAATAAAAATAAAAATAAAAATAAAAATAAAAATAAAAATAAAAATAAAAATAAAAATAAAAATAAAAATAAAAATAAAAATAAAAATAAAAATAAAAATAAAAATAAAAATAAAAATAAAAATAAAAATAAAAATAAAAATAAAAATAAAAATAAAAATAAAAATAAAAATAAAAA